TGGTGTTTTTTTTTTTTTTTTTTTAAATTAAAGCCTATTCCCAACTCTGAAGTGTTTTGTCTACTTCAAGTTAATTGCAGGAACCAAATATGGTGTGTCGGCTCCGTTTACATAATGTGCCTATATGTAGGGGATGCTTTACTGGTATGTTTATACATAGCTATCTTTCTATCTTAGATGGAGATACTGTACTTGAAAACTCTGTCTCATCTGCATTACGTGAGATACCAGCAAACCTTGTGGATGCATCTGACTTCGAGTGTTCCCTCTGCATGAGGTATGGCTGCGTAGAGCCAAGAGTCTTCCTAAACTTTAGACCAAGTTTTGAAGGAAGGGTTATACTGGAAGCTATTCTAACACGAACTAAAGGGTTTGTTACATAACATTCATCACTTTTTTTTTTGTTGCAAGTTTGAGTGGAGAGGCTGAAATTATTTTTTGTAACACATTGGGATAATTTATTTTAAAAATCCCTTTTATGTTGTAGGGTAAAGAATAGATAATATGTCACAAGATTCATGGGGGAGGGGGGATAGCCTTTTAAAACACACTTAATGATTCGTTAATACTTTTTATTGCTTTTGTGTTGGATGTAAACTTATAAAGAACCAATTTTATTTTTCCCAACTGTCTTATTCAGGTTATTTTACGAGCCTGTTACCACTCCTTGTGGACATACATTTTGTCTCAAATGCCTTGAGCGTTGCCTTGACCATAATCCATATTGCCCACTCTGTAAAGAAAAGCTCTCTGAAGTAAGTTTGTATTTGCAAGGTTTTGGGGTGTTGTGGGGGGGGGTCTTTGTATTTTAAAAAAAAAGGAATGGTTTGATTAGAAGCACTTATTAAGTAAGGTCTTGATATATTGTGCAAACTCTCTTTACATGCATACAGCTGAACAGTATAGGGCCAACATGATAGTCTTGGTATGCTCTCTCCAGACATAGTGTTAGGTTCAGGCTAGAGTACCAATCAAAGTTGTACATGTTACTTTCTCACACTGAAATGAGATGTTAATTTTTGCCTGAGCAGACTCTAGCAAAGACTGTGGAAATGCTGAAGAGGCTGTACTATCCCTTCAGTATCTCTTCTGATATTCGATTAGTGAACAAAGTGTGATTCTGTCCATTCTGGTGTAGAGAATGTGTACTCCACTGGGGGGGAAATCTGGTTCCCAAATATTTAGACTCCTTAGGTGGCAATAACTTGGCAGCTTTAGAGTCAAAACTGATTATGTCCTTTACGCAGCGTGAAGAGAATTAGAGGTGGGCAAAAATTGTTTGGGCTTTTGTGATGTTGGTGATGGAGAGAGAACAGACACTATTTTGCTGAAAAATGCTGATTTGCATAGGCCAAAACACTTCAGATTCCTGTCTGTGTGAGATGGTTCCTTAGGTGGCAATAACTTGGCAGCTTTAGAGTCAAAACTGATTATGTCCTTTACGCAGCGTGAAGAGAATTAGAGGTGGGCAAAAATTGTTTGGGCTTTTGTGATGTTGGTGATGGAGAGAGAACAGACACTATTTTGCTGAAAAATGCTGATTTGCATAGGCCAAAACACTTCAGATTCCTGTCTGTGTGAGATGGTTGTATC